CCCCCCCAAACAAACAAACAAAAAAAAGTCGTAACATGGACCACATTTGCTTCTATTACGGTGAAAAAACGTTTATTTAGAGAGCGGGAAGCGCGGGCGGCGACGATGGACAGAAAGAGCGCGCACAGCTTTGATGCGCATTCTCACACAGGTACACTTGTCCATGGCCCACACAGGTACATCGTGCCTCGCTCCACCACTAACCAAATGTGCAAAATGAGAATGAATCTTCCGCTAGAACATGGAAAGATACACGACCATATTTTTTGTCTTTTGTGCATGTGGTGAGAGGTGGAGCGACCACGCCCATAATCAGACCGGCAGAACGAAGATTTAGTAGAGGAGGAGACGGAAGGGGAGGGCGAGCGGGTAGCTGGGGCGCAAAGGAGGGGGGCAGGGGGGAGAGAGAGAGAGAGAGAGTGAAAGATAGGCATGTGTGTGTGTGAGAGACAGAGATAGAGAGATGTGCATGTGGGTGCGTAAGAGAGAGAGAGAGAGAGAGAGAGAGAGAGAGACCCACCTGGAGAGCTCGTCGCCAACCCATTTCTGCAGATATCCTCCTGAGGATCCCGGTCCAGAGCTTGAGAGGTACTCTGACGAAAGGCGCGAGACGTTCTGCCACGTCATCACCGTCGCGCAAATCCTTAAGGGCCTTCATGATCAGTTCCCGTCGATCGACGAGGGGGGCGTCTCCGCCTCCGCCGACGTGTCGATCGCGGCTGGCATCGAAGCCCCCATCTCTTCCGCCGGGGCCATCACGTTCACGATGTCCCCGGTCGCCACGTGGCTGCCAGGCCCGTCTATCATGTCCTGCGTCCCGAACAACACCGCCCCCCCCTTCTCTACGGGGCAACCAGACCCCAGGTGGTGCCCCTTCTTCTGGCCCCCCCCGTCTCTCTTTTCTCCCGCTGGCGTCTTCGCGAGGCCCCCACCCTCTCCTCTCCCCCCCTGCTCTACCCCCCCTCCGCGGCATTGCCCGCTCGTCCTGCGCGCGCAGGACGTGGCTAACATCCTCCACCTCCCCCCGCTCCGCCAACCCCCCTCTCTTCTCATTGCTCTCTCTCTCGCACGCAGTCGGCGAGCGGCCGACAGCACCGGCGATGGCGGCAAACGCGCCCCCCCCCGATTCCGATTCCGTCGGCGAAACAACCCCCCCGGACGCGCGGGCGCACACATTTAGCCCCCTTCCCACGTCCCTCTTCTCTCGCTGCGCTACCCACTCCCATGCACCTACCCAGCTCCCCCACGCCTCCTCGGCCGCCGCCGCCTCTTCGCCTTCATCGCCGCCCAGCGTCACTCCAGCTGGTAACCAGGCACCGGCTCGCGCGTCGAGCGCATCCGCCACCACGTAGCGATGCAGGGCGCAACCGGCGCCCCCGACCCCGCGGCGCCCGCACCATGGGGAGGAAGGAACGCTGCGCACGGCAGCGGACCATATGCTTTCCCCGCCAACGGAAAGAAGACGCGGGGGAACGCCCGGGAAAGGCGGAGAGCACGCGCGCGGCTCCGCCGCGACAGCTGCCAGAGATGCGCCGCGATAGCCGTTTCCCGCGCCTCCAGCCGCGCTGCGCGCCGAGGAGCAGGACGACGTGCGGCCTAGAATGCTCGACGACAGAGACACGTTGAAGTTCAGCGCCGCACCCCCCGTCGCCGCGGGCGGCGCGATCATCCCCGCGGCCATTCCCGCTTCCCTGCCTCCGAACAGCGCGCGCGAACTGCCTTGCACCGCCCCGCTTCACCCCGCTCGCACCTGATAGTTAGCTAGCCCTCCGCCCAACCTGAGCAGCTGGTCGACGCTGGTCCGCCGAAAACCACTCCCGCGCCTCACTACTCGACCCTGCCGCCCCCGCCAAGCCACGCGCCTGACTGATCAGTCCGGCCCACCTCTCTCTCTCTCTCTCTCTCTCTCTCTCTCTCTCTCTCTCTCTCTCTCNCTCTCTCTCTCTCTCTCTCTCTCTCTCTCTCTCACACACACACACACACACACACACACACACACACACACACACACCTCGCTGCCACCTGAACTGCTATCCACAGGCCACGTGGACGGCGCTCACCTCCTCCTCCCCCCGAAAAACCTCGACTTCTGTCAGCGCTCCAATCATCCTGCCGCAGTATGTTCACGGAAACAATCAGCGACACTACCCTCACGTAGTGCCAAAAAATGCGACCAGACCTCACACCACCTCTCGATACACTGATGGGTACAAGATTGTCAATTGAAGCGGACGAGCGCACAAAAGATTTTGAGCCCTCAACCTCTCAGCCACCGGTCAGCCCAGTTTACAGACATACGACAAACCGTCGCGCCACCTCAGCACTATGTGCCACGCCGGCCGATGGGCAGGTAACCTGTAGTAGGAGGTAGTACCACGTATTCCATTCCAATCAACACACCCTGCCCAATCAACAGACCCCGCCGCGGCAAGTCAGAACGATACGCCACGTCAGCCGATGCATGGATGGATGGATGGATGGATGGATAAGATGATGATGATACGTGGTTGGACAGGATGACAATATGATGATATACACGGCAGCAAACTTCCGCGTGGCGCGAAGCAGTGCGCGCCGCATACGCACTAGGATACGCCACGTGTCACTGTCTCAACCGACGACGACCATGCTCATTGGCGGAACCCATCAATGCGCACAAAACGACAAAGAGCCTCGCGCTTTCGGTACGTGTATAGACGTCTGCACTTGTCTAGTATGATGCCCCATGCGCGCCGTTATTACTCCCTAAGCTTCCCGCTCGGTCGAAGACGAGTGTAATCGAAGCAATGAGCGCTCGAGCGAAAGCCCACAGCCGGGCGGATTGAGGATCTCCACAGTTCTCCGCGGCTTTTGATGGCGCCAAGAATCCCGACAGCCAAATATCCCGACTCCCGACTGAATTCTCTACCAGTCTCTACGCTGCGGCGCGCCAACGACCATTCAACGACCATTCTCCGCTCGGAGATTATAATACAGTATCAACTTGTCATTCGATACTCGGTCGGCCCTCGGCCGGGGGGGCGGCTGGGATGCAGCGACGGTTAATTACTGTTTACTGTAATTAATTGATTGATCGGATTATTGGTTTATGAATTGATTGCTTGAGTGGTCGACAGAGCGAGTGCTCGATTCGGTGATTGGTCGATTGGACGGTCGGTATCTGAAACACACCCTGCGATGCGATGCGATGCGACGCGACGCGTGTATATACCCTCGCCAAAGGGGAGAACTTTCCTCGAGCATTCGACCTCTCGGTGGTTAATCAACTTATCACAAAACGACAACACAACAGAATGATGATGGATGAGATTGACAGCGGCTCACTGTGTGTGGTAGCCGGCGCGACGTGATACATGCACCGACATCCACATCTGCCTGCGAACGCTGGTACGCGCGAGAGGAAATGCATATATATATTATATATATATAGCGAGAGAGAGGGGGCAGAGGGGGTGGGGGTGGGGGAGGGAGGGGAGGGGGGAAGAGAGAGAGAGAGAGAAGGGGGGGGGGGGRGGGGGTACAGATTTTAGGTATTAATAAACATATAACCATATATATATATATATACATATGTGGTGAGGGACAACTCACGCCGCGCTAATCGCGCCGGATGCAGAGGAAAGAAAGGTGTAGGGGTTATGACAGGCGGGCGAAGAAGACGAAACGACGGAGGGGAGGAGAGGAGGAGAGGAGGAGAGGAGGGGGCCAGAATAGAAAACGGGTAAAGGCAACAAGGTCTATCATCGGGCATTGAGGAAACTCAACTCTGCTAGTTGGGACTTGGCCGCTGGTCTCCGCTATCCCTTATGACGGCGGTATCATCGGGCCTCACTCCACTACTCACGACGTGCACAAAGACAGAAAAAATAAAAATATGGGGGCGTTTTTTTTATTTTTTTGGGGGAAAGGGGCGTTTTTTTCCATTTTCTAGCGGAGGATTCATTCTCATTTTGCACATTCCGAGAGTAGTGGGGCGATGAAAAAAAAAAAACAAAAAAAAAAAAAGGAGAGTAGTGGAGCGAGGTCCGGTGATACCGCCGTCATAAGGGATGGCGGAGACCAAGGGCCAAGTCCCAACTAGCAGAGTTGAGTTTCCTCAATGCATGAATCTGGACGTCTTCGTGGAGATGTGCAGTTGAGGAAACTCAACGCTATTTCTGCACATCTCCACAAACACGACCAGATTCATGCATTGAGGAAACTCAACGCTATTTCTGCACATCTCCACAAACACAACCAGATTCAGGCGTTGAGGAAACTCTACGCTGCCAGTGGGACTTGGCCCCAGAGGGGGAGGGGGAAAAGGCAGGAAGTCGTACCACCAAGAGAGTACCCTGCCGGCCGTCATTTATTTTATTTATTTTTACTAAAAAAAACGAAAAGAAGAAAAAGCAAAAGGCCAAGAAAAGCTAAACGACAGGGAGGACTGTGCATCTGCATCTGTATATATCTTTTTTTTTTTTTTTTTTTTGTATATATCAGGTACATGTGCATAGATATGGTGTTTCTTCGTTTTTCCCTTTTGTTTTTTTGGGCATATATATGGTTTACGGCACCCTCGACGGCCTATCATCAAGAACGGAAAGATCGACAATGAACACACAACAGACGGCATATGGGCCCCAAGTCCCGCTAGCAGCGTTGAGTTTTCTCATCTCCCGATCTGGACGTGTTTGCGGAGATGTACAGGAAATAATGTTGAGTTTCCTCAACCGCACATGACGACAAACACGTCCAGATTCGGGCATTGAGGAAACTCAACGCTTCTAGTGGGACTTGGCCCCGGGAGAGCAAACATAAATAGATCGGGAGTCCGAGTACTACACATGAATGAATTAAGTACTTACTTTTAGGGTAGTTTATCCGTTTACCCCAACAATTCGCAGCCCTATTGTCTATAGTGGGCTTCAGGGTCTGTATCAAGGTGTCGCATTTTCCGCGGCGGGTGACCAGGATGCGAAGTGGGTTCTTAGGGGGCCACAAAAAAATTGGGGGGACCGGTCCTTGGCAAGATTGCGGACTACCTACAACTAGCTCTGGTAGAACCGGGACTTTTGGAAAAAGGAAGGACTGGTCCTCGGGTGAAGCGGACCCCAAAAGGAAATGGGGGGCGTTGGACTGGTCCTCGGGTGAAAGCGGACCCCAAAAAGAAGTGAGGGTATGTGAATTGTCTACCACGTGGGCGTGGGGAACGCAGCCCTAAGGTAGCCAAATCAATGAGACTAAAGGCTCGCACAAGAGAGAGAGAGAGAGAGAGAGAGAGAGAGAGAGAGAGAGAGAGAGAGAGAGAGAGAGAGAGAGTTTTGTTC